GGACACAGGGCAGTGATGCAATCGGTTGGATGTCTCGGAACGCTCTGGCGGCCGTCCAGAGAGCAAGCCCTAGGGAGGTGTGAGTGGAGGTGGCGAGGCCAGTGCAGGGAATCCTTTGTCATCCCAGCATGGGAGACGCGAGCGGCGCGGACCAGCAGGAGCCGAGGCCGGCCTGGGCTTCTTGTGAACGTCAAGCCCAGGGGACTCTGGGAGGGTTGGACATCGGGACGGGAGAGGCCAGGACAGGGAGGCCCCAGGTGACCTCTTGACTTGCAGCTGGAGCCCCCGGTGAGTGGGGGGCCAGGCAGGAGAGGGGACTGAGGCGGGAGGTGGGGGCCTTGGGAGCCCTGTGTGCTCACGTGAAGTGTGGCTTCTGGACATCCCAGGGGCGCTCCGGGCGGAGAGAGACGTGGAGCGGTCTCGGGACACGGTGGGACACGAGGGCACCAGGCAGAACGAGAGCCCAGGTGTGAGGAGGAGGAGGGGCAGGGGTCCCAAGAGAGGGCCCTTTGGACACCAAACTGGACAGTCCCTGACTGTGCCAATGACGGCTGATGGGGAGAGAGAAGCAGCAGCTGGATGTGGCCACAGGGAGGTCACCTGAAACCCGGGTGAGGGCAGTCTGGGCAGGGGTTGGGGGCAAAGGCTGCCAGCGTGGATCTGGGAGAGTGTGGGAGAAAAGGAAGTGGAGACAGAGGGCAGAGACAACTCTCTCCAGCTCTGCTGTCCAGGGAGCTGGGAGCGGAGTCACGTTTGGAGGGCGAGGTGGAGTCGAGGGAGGGATGCTTTTTTGAAGATGAGGATGGAGCGTTTTTGTGCCGAGGAACTGAGCCAGGAGAGACAGAGGAAACCCTGAATGTGGAAGAGAGAGGCTGCCTGCAGGAGCTCAGCCCTTGAGAACAGAGGAAGCTGTGGGGGAGACTTGGGGAGGCGGGTGCAGACCTGTCCCGGGGAAGACCAGAGGCTCCTCTCTGAGCTGTGCTTGCGTTTAGGGCAGAGAGAGCTCAGAGCAGAAGGCCGGGGCTGAACTGAAGGGCAGAGGAGGGAAAGGTGTGAAAGTCGCCAGAGGACGACCGGACCAAACAACCTGGCAAAGGACGTGCAGGAGCGTCGCCAGGCAGAGATCTGGGGTAGAAAATTTAAGACAGGACCAGCTGAAAATCGAGTGTTTTTCACTTTTTGAGAAGCTGCCTGGGTGCAGGCCCGGGAAGGTGGGGTTGGGCTACCCAGGTACAGCAGGTGGGCGAGAGGGCCAGGGTGTTCAGGGTAAAGACAGAGAAGGCCTCACAGAGGTGGGTCCCAGAACCCACCAGGGAAGGAGGGAAGTGGGAACAGGCCAGGGTGGCTGTGGTCAGCAGAAGAGTGGCCTCCCGGGATAGCCAGGTCCTGAGCCCTGCAACCTGCGAATGTTACCTGATGTGGACGCCAAGAGGGGCTCTGCAGACTAAGGAACCGGAGATGGACAAAGGAGGCTGAGTTCTCCAGGACGGCCGTACATGTAATCACAGTGTCCTTGTAGGACGGAGGCAAGGAGGCCAAGGGAAGAAGATGGGAGGGCAGACACAAAGATTAGGGTGACGCACTTGGAAGACAGAGGAAGAGTCCCAGAGCCCAGGAGCTCAAGTGGCTTCTAGAAGCTGAAAAAGGCAAAAAATAAAAAAAAAAAACAAAACAGGCCAGGCATGTGGTTCATGCCTGTAATTTCAGCACTTGGAAGGCTGAGGTAGGAGGATCGCTTGAGCCCAGGAGTTTGTAACCAGCCTGGGCAATGTAGCAAGACATTGTCACTACAAAAAAAAAAAAAAAAAGCCAGGTGTGGTG